CCACCAGGCCGGCACAACCCAAAACACCGGAACAACCCAAGACCTACAAGGGTTAGCTTGTGTGCGAAAATGTGCCCCAATACCATCGTCACGAGGCCCAGTAGAGCACGGGGGCGGCAGACGCATGGCACTCGCAAAACTGAAAATTCACCCCTGGGGGTGGGGCTGGGAAGGGCACCCCGGAGACCCCCCCCGGGAGCATAATATGTTCTTTTGCGGGTATATCGGGTACGACCATACTTGGCCGAATGCACCATATCCCGTCCGATTTGTGAAGTTAAGCGGCCACAGGCCTCGTTAGTACGGCGATCGGTGATGGTGCTGGAACCCGGGGTGCCGTACCCTCCCCAATTATTTTTTTTTGCCACCATCTTGGGGTGGGTGCCGCGGACCTCTGAAGTGAACCACGGCGCGCCTTTGGCAATGAGGGCTGTCCATCCGCGGCGTCCAGCTTATCCACTTCCATCCATTCAGGGAAACCAAACATACTTCACACATTGTAGTGGTGCAGGCGGTGGGGTGCCAACAAACAAAAATACCTATGGGGCGTAATGTTCTTATGAAACGAAATGTTCTTATGGGGGAAAGTGTTTTCTTGTTGTGCTTATTTTTTCTTTTCTGCATTTCCCATGGATTTCCTTTTCACACCACACATGGCATTAGCGGAACGTCTTATCATCACCATAGCGGAATTTGCCTTTTATCATAGGGAAGGGCCCACCCACACCCTCATGTTCTTTTTGTTCAAGGTGTGGCCATCCAACAGCACCTTTTATTCGGTGGCACGCGGCACCATGTCACTAGGGGAACGGGGAAGGGTCATCTTAGTGGAAAACTCTTTCTTTCCCTACTTCAGCGCGGAGTAAGATATGGGTTTGAAAGGTATTCGGCAATGCCCAATCCCACTCATTTTATAAGTGAAACACCCCAGGGAGCCACCCCCCACCTCTCTCTCTTCTTGTTGCGCACAAGACGCTGACAAGTTGGCCGCCCGCCTTGGGTTGTGGGGTCGTGTGTTCTCTCCTCTCCCTTCTTGGGGTGAGGGATAAAAAAAAAAAAAGAAAAGGGCAAAACCCGACAACGAGCCTCGAGCATTACGCGCGTAGACTGGTTGCCGGGTTTTATCCTTTTTTTTTTCCTCATCCTCACTCTTCTTTTTCTCTCAAGTTCAAAGTCCCTGAGCATGATATTTCAGGCCTCAAGGTTCAGCGCCTCGGGACGTAAAGTGCCCCTC